AAAAAACTGAGGTGCTGGCATCTCTGAAATGGGTGACATCAGACCGAAATAAAAAACTCCATTCTGAATGAAACTGAAATCTTCACTTCTTGGTCAAAGTTTAACTGTTGTAAAACAAAGAGGGCAGGAGTCAGGATTTCTAACCTACACAGGGATTTGCTTGCTGAAAAGTGTCTGTTAAGAATATTTACTCATACTATGGAATACTACTCAACAATAAAGAACAATGATGAATCTGTGAAGCATCTCATAACATGGATGAATCTGGAGGGGATTATGCTGAGTGAAACAAGTCAATTACAAAAGGACAAGTATTGTATGAGACCACTACTATAAAAACTCATGAAAAGATTTACACACAAAAACAATCTTTGATGGTTACGAGGGAGGGGAGGGGTGTGGATGGAAAACACTAAATAGACAATAGACAAGTGGTAACTTTGGTGAAGGGTAAGACAGTATACAATACTGGGGAAGCCAGCATAACTTGTCCAAGGCAAGGTCCTGGAAGCTCCATAGACACGTCCAAATTCTCTGAGGTACCAAATTAGTGGGCAGAGGGCTGTGAGGACCATGGTCTCAGGGAACATCTAGCTCAATTGGCATAACATAGTTTATTAAGAAAATGTTCTACATTCTGATTTAGGAAATAATATTGGAGTTATTATTCCCTATCCTTGAGCATAGAGAATGTGCCCCAGCTGGAGCTGGGCTCACAAGGGCTCACAAGGACTCACAAGGGCCCTGAGGTATAAAGACAATAGCTAAGATAATCTTGGAAAATATCTGTTAGGGAAGCTTTCACATAAAGCCAATCAAACAGAATGCGGAAGACTTTCCACTTTTACCTTTTTCTATTAGCATTTAGTGAATAGAAATTTGTTGGACCAATGAAGAGCCTCCTGACTGTCGAAATTTGTACCAGTGATTGTTAAGAAAGGCAATTCAAAATGTAGGATCACAATTTCTAGCCAATCTGTGAAAAGGTTGCCCATTTGTGATGTTAATGTATACTGATGACTCTGTAATGGTCTTTGGACTCGGGCAGACGTGGCTATGGCAGCATGCTTGTCCGTTTTCCCGTTTTTACCTATTCTGTAATATTTTTTGGCAGACATGGCTGTGGCAGCATGATTGTCTGTTTTCCCATTCTTGTCTATTTTGTAATATTCTTTGGACTCGGGCAGACATGGCTGTGGCAGCATGGTTGTCCATTTCCCACTTTTGACTTTTTGAATATATGCCGAATAAAACTTTCTTTTCGCTTTACTAAACTTTGATGATTTTCCCTTACAACAGTTCTACTTTGGTGAACAGTGTCTGGGGTCTTAAAAGCTTGTGAGCAGCAGTCTAAGATACTCTACTGGTCTCACCCCATCTGGAGCAAGGGAGAATGAAGAAAACCAAAGACATAAGAGAAAGATTAGTCCAAAGGACAAATGGACCACAACTACCACAGTCTCCACCAGACTGAGTCCAGCACAACTAGGTGGTGCCTGGCTACCACCATTGACTGCTCTGGCAGGGATCACAATAGAGGGTCCCGGACAGAGCTGAAGAAAAATGTAGAACAAAATTCTAACTCACAAAAAAAAGAAAAAAAAAAAGACTAGACTTACTGGTATGACAGAGACTGGAGAAACCCCGAGAGTATGGCCCCCGGACACCCTTCTAGCCCAGTACTGAAGTCACTCCTGAGGTTCACCTTCAGCCAAAGATTAGGCAGGCCCATAAAACAAAACGAGACTAAATGGACACACCAACTCAGGGGCAAGGATGAGAAGGCAGGAAAGCTGGTAATGGGGAACCTAAGGTTGAGAAGGGGAGAGAGTGTTGACATGTCATGGGGTTGGCAACCAATGTCACAAAACAATATGTATATTAATTGTTGAATGAGAATCTAGTTTGCTCTGTAAACCTTCATCTAAAGTACAATAAAATAAATAAATAAAAATGAGGAAATGAACACTTGTTAAAAAAAAAAAAGAATATTTACTCAGCTTGGTCTAGGGTCGCTATGACTCGGAATTGACTCAATGGCAATGGGTTAGGTTTGGTTTTTGGTTTTGTTCTAAAAGAATGTCTTGCTTAATTAAGCATGTCTCCTGGAGGTTAGGAAATAGGATTAGAATTGATATAAAATGAAGCCTATAACTGACTAATAACTCTGCAACCAAGTTAAAACATCAAGCCTTAAATTCCAATAGCCTGACTCCCAAATTAAACTTCGTTTTCATTTACTGAGATCTTCCGCTTCATTTCTGCTAATTCTTTTGTAAATTGTAGCTAAGTTAAAACATAAACCTTAAAACATTTACCCTAAAGAAGGAAAGAGCAATCATGCAGCTATACTAACTCAATTTATTCCTGACAGAATGCTTGGTTAAACAGATCTCAGGATGTCTTGCTATCCCTGAAATTTTAACAAGTAAACTTGCTGTTAGTAAATGTTTCAACTTTAGTTTCACAAAACCCCTTGTAACCTTTGCCATGATTCCTCCCTCCTTCCCTAAGTGCCTGCCAGCAAAAATTCTTGCAAAAATTCTTTTAAACCCTTACTCTTCTCCCTGCAATTCAGAACATTCCAGCATCTAGTTTGGATGTCTGTATGTTTCCCATTTTGCAAAATGTCTTTTTATCCTTCAATGAAACTTTTTCTTTTTAATTCTAGAGCAGAGTAAGTCTGGTGATTAGCTTTGTACGACATGTATGTGGGGTTGCCACGAATCTGTGTTGACTTGAAGGCAGCTAACAAGCGCCTTGGAGAAAATAAAGCACGGAGAGGTGCTAAGGACTGTAGGGGGTGTTGCGATGTTAAATGTGGTGATACAGAAATGCACTGACCAGAACCCCTTCATGGAAGGAAAGTGATCAGCCAACTGCCTTTAGCCTTCAGCTCCCTCATGGTATGCCTCAGCTGCAGAGAGCCTTCCTGCTCTAGGTGATGCCCTTTCTGGTTTGGCTCACATTCAGTAACTGACCTAGAGGGACTATAAAGGCAGGACCATTTCACTTTGATGACTGTGGTGCGCCTGACCCAAGCCGTGGTATTTTCATAGTATTGCCTCATATGCATGTGAAAGCTGGACAATGAAAAAGGAAGACCAAAGAAGAACTGACACATTTGAATTGTGGTGTGGCATTTGACTGTATGAATAATAAACTGTGGATAACATTGAGAAGAAAGGGAATTCCAGAACACTTAATTGTACTCGTGTGGAACCTGTACATAGACCAAGGAGCAGTCCTTCAAACAGGACAAGGGGATACTGCATGGTTTAAAATCAGGAAAGGTGTGCGTCAGGGTTGTATCCTTTCACCATACTTATTCAACATGTATGCTGAGCAAATAATGGAAGAAGCTAGACTATATGAAGAAAAACACAGCATCAGGATTGGAGGAAGACTTACTACCAATCTGCGATATGCAGATGATACAACCTTGCTTGCTGAAAGTGAAGAGTACTTGAAGCACTTACTCGTGAAGATCAAAGACTACAACCTTCAGTATGCATTACATCTCAACATAAAGAAAGCAAAAATCCTCACAACTGGACCAATAAGCAACCTTATGATAAACGGAGAAAAGATTGAAGTTGTCAAGGATTTCATTTTACTTGGATCCACAATCAACACCCATGGAAGCAGCAGTCAAGAAATCAAACGATGTATTGTATTGCTTGGGCATATCTGCTACAAAAGACCTCTTTAAAGTGTTAAAAAGCAAAGATGTCACTTTGAGAACTAAGGTGTGCCTGACCCAAGCCATGATATTTTCAGTCGCCTCATATGCATGCAAAAGCTGGACAATGAATAAGGAAGATCAAAGAAGAATTGATGCATTTGAACTGTGGTGTTGGTGAAGAATATTGAATACACCGTAGACTACCAGGAGAATGAACAAATCTGTCTTGGAAGAAGTACAGTCAGAATTCTTCTTAGAAGGAAGGATGGCGAGACATTGTCACACCTACTTTGAACATGCTATCAGGAGGGACCAGTCCCTGGAGAAGGACATCATGCTTGGTAAAGGAGAGGGTCAGCAAAAAAGAGGAAGACCCTCAGTGAGATGGATTGACACAGTGGCTGCAACAATGGGCTCCAACATAGTAATGATGGTGAGGATGTCACAGGACCTGGCAGTGTTTCGTTCTGTTGTACATGGGATCGCTATGGGTGGGAACTGATTTGATGGCACCGAACAACAACAAAGTGAAAATAATAACACTGCCTTTTATTGGTGATGTAGTAAGCAGAGATTACGTATGGTCGAAACCTGTTGCCATCCAGTCAATTCCGGTTCTATAGGATAGAGTAGAACTGCCCCATAGGGTTTCCAAGGAGTGGCTGGTGGATTTGAACTGCCAACCTTTTGGTTAGCAGCCGAACTTTTAATCACTGCGCCACCAAGGCTCCTATGTCTGGTAGTTATATTATTAATTTAGCTTCTTTATCTTGATCTCATAATCTCTAAAAATGTCTGTCCTGCTGTCACCTTCTATTTGTACTGTTGGATTGTTTTTAATTAAAAAGTTTAATTTTGGTTCAGTCAGTATTTCTTAGTCTATGTTTCGTGAGAGAAGGCTTTGGGAGATGAGTGCCAGGTAAAAAGTAGAAACTTAATGAATACTCGTTTAATAAATATTGGCTAGATCCATGGTCTAGAAGTCTAAGACCAAATATATATTGACAAAAAAAGTTTTCATGTTTTGAAAATTTACGTTTTCTTTAAACAGGTTTTTTGGGAGAAAAGAAGGAACAAGACAACCAATGGGAGGAAGAAGAGTCTTAGAGAAATCCCTGGACCCAAAAAGCGCCCCTCAGCCCTGCTAATCAAAGGAGAGCTTCTCGGTGGGCAAGAAACACGACTTGGGCATGCGCAGCAAAAGCAGCCTCAGCCGCCCCGCTCTCCGTATGTTGGCCCCGCCCTTTTCACGTTGGCCTCGCCCCCGTCTTGTCTCTCCTTGTTTCCGCCCCAACCCCCTCAACCCCGATCCGGAGGGGAATTGTGTTACTGAGACACTGGCCCGACTCTGTTCCTTCCTCCCGCCGTTGCTCTCATCCCTGCAATGGCATCTGGGTTGGTGAGGTTGCTTTTGTCGGGGCCTCGCTGCCTACTGGCTTCGCCCGCCCCCAAATTAGCCCCGCCGGTTCGGGGCATGAAGAAGGGATTCCGTGCTGCTTTCCGCTTCCAGAAGGAGTTGGAGCGGTGGCGCCTGCTCCGGTGCCCGCCACCGCCCGTGCGCCGGTAGGAGTCACCATGGGAAGGGATCGGGGTGGCGATGGAGGACCTTGGGCTGCGTGTCCTGCGTCTTCGGCCCGGCAGCGGGGAGTGTTGCTCGTCGCCAGTGTGCTCTTGGCTGGAGCCTAGGAGGTGTGCGATAGAGACACTTTGGGACTTGGACGCTTGGCCTGAGGCAGAGGAAATGGATTTCTGCCTCTGACAGTGGAGCCGAGGCTGCCCTCCCCTCTTCGAAACTGCCATTTAGAGTCCTGTCAACGCAGAGTCGTGAGAAATGAGGCCGACTCGCGGGCATTCTTTTTGTGGGCTTAGAGTATGTTGTAGCTCCCGTTTTGTAATGCCTGAATTATTCGGGTGCAGGTAGGAGTGAAGAAAGCACTTCGCAGCTTTGCTGTTCGTAATAAAAGAAAAAGTTTACTTTTTGTTTTTTTCATAACCTTGTTCCAGTAGTATAAAGTCTGGCAGAAAGAGGCGCGGGTTTTATAGCTCCAAATGAGATCATGCTATACGTGTGGATCTGCAACTTGTTTTCTCTCTTTAATAATGGATCTTTGACATATTGTTATAGCAGAACAAGTAGTTGCATCTCATTCTTTTATATAGTTGCGTGTCCATTGAATAGATGTACTCCAGTTTATGGGCATTTGAGTTCCATCTTATTGCTCTTATAACCAGTGTGACAATGACTGTCCTTAAAATTTGTTATACTTTTGGGAGTTTATACGTAAGTATGAAATTTTGATAGCTGCTTTCATTTTGCTCTTCCCAAAAACGGTTGATCCAGTTCATAAACTCCCACCGGTAGGAATGTGAGTGTTCATATTCATATACTTTTCCTATTACATTTTTTTCTTAATTGGCAAAAAAAAAAAAAAATAGCATCTGATCTTAATTTACATTTCTTTGATTTTTATGCATTAGACATTTTAGACTTTTAAAACTGGATGAAATTTTATGGATGATGTCGATTTTATGACTTCGGACCCAGTTGTTTATACTTTGTTGCTTTTTTCCTTAAAAAAGGTTTTAATTTGGACTTGTCTTTGTTTACAAAAACATTTCTTGGTCCATTCTTGGAAGTAATGAGCTTTTAACTTGTCATATTGATACTAGATTATTTAAGTGCTGATTTAAATGGATATTTCCAAAACTAAAATCAATAAAATGCAAACTAAATGTAATAATATTGTTGTTGCTCATGCACTGAATCTGTGAAGTTATAGTTTATATTACTTACTTAGGTAAAAGGAGTCCCTGGGTGGTGCAAACGGTTAGGCACTCTGCTAGCCAAAAGGTTGCTAGTTCAAACCCACACAGAGGCGCCTCGGAAGACAGGCTTGTCAGCTTCTGAAAGGTTACAGCCTTGAAAACTATGAAGCAGTTCTCCTCTGGACACATGGGGCTGCCATAGTTGGAATCGACTCTCAAAGGCAACTAATAACAACCACCACCTAGCTATAAGGCATAGTTTCATGGTTAGAGCCAGAAATAAGGAACTTAAAAGTTAGGATAAGGGCTTAGTCTCTGATGTTGAACCACTTCAATGTGACAGTTGGTTCAAAGGGAAAATAATCCAACCATATGTATAGAATACAGCAAAAGACCACAAGTAATCGTCTGACTTGAGTTTTAAAATTTAAAATATCCAAGCCTGACATTGAAAATAAATGCAGCCTTTTTTTTAAAAAATGTATATATAACTAATAAAATTACAACAGTAAAAAAAATTTGAATCATAGTAACATGTTCTCTTTACCATCTCTTACTGTCTTCTGTTTTATATTTTCAGTTCAGAGAAGCCCAACTGGGATTATCATGCTGAAATACAAGCATTTGGACATCGGTTACAGGAAACCTTTTCCTTAGATCTTCTTAAAACTGCATTTGTTAATAGCTGCTATATTAAAAGTGAGGAGGCCAAACGCCAAAAACTTGGGATAGAGAAAGAAGCCGTTCTTCTCAATCTTAAAGATAATCAAGAACTATCTGAACAGGGGACTTCTTTTTCACAAACTTGCCTCACACAGTTTCTTGAAGACGCATACCCAGACTTACCCACTGAGGGCATCAGAAGTCTTGTTGACTTTCTTACTGGTGAGGAAGTCACGTGCCATGTGGCTAGAAACTTGGCTGTGGAGCAGTTAACCCTGAGTGCAGAATTTCCAGTCCCCCCAGCTGTATTAAAGCAGACTTTCTTTGCAGTTATCGGAGCCCTGCTACAAAGCAGTGGACCTCAGAGGACTGCACTTTTCATCAGGGTAGGTAATTAGTAATTGCACATGCTTGGGCATGTTTGATGTGGACAGATGTAAAAAATTTTGTTTGTAATTCACTTCTTTCTTGTATCAACTTCGAAGATAATATGTGAATTTTTCCTCCTCCAAAAACTGAGGAAATCCTAAAACCTTTTTATGATAAGATCTTAATTATGATATGAATTAGTTCATTAATTGCTATATGCGTATTGTAATATGATAGGGTCTTAATTATTCCAGTTGTCTAATTGAGAACAACATCAGAGGTGAATATTAATGTGAATTCTTAAGGACTGCAAGCCAAGTATAGTGCCTACATTGTAGATGCTCAGTAGATGTTTAGTGAATGAATGAGGCCAAAGTCAGTATATCATAGCCTATTGTGATTAGGGACCTTCATGCCGAAATACAAGCTGCTGGTCTCTCCCAAGTGATAAAATCAGGTTTCTGAGTCCCTGTGATGTACAACTCTTTGTTAGCCAGTAGCTTAGCTAATAGAAATGCATACATAAGTAGTATGATTTGACTTCCTTTGTTTTTAGAATTTGTTAACTGAAGGACATTTTATTCTTTGCCATTGGATGAAACCATGAGTTTTTGGTCACTGTTAGATAATAGAAAGTCCATGCATTCACCTTAGGTTACAAAAAACAGCCTTGATTCAGATATTTGAATGTGAAATCCTTTAAGCTAGCATCCTTTAGTCTTGAAATCTGTTCGCATTTAGTTTTGATACCAAGTTGGGTAGTTTTGATAGAGAAAGGTAACTGTATAAACCAACACTTCAAACTTCGTTCGTAGATTTAGACCTGCCTGTCTTTCCTTCCTCAGCAAAGGTCTGTAATAGGAAGGCTACCTGCCTGCCTTTGGAAAGTGGTTATGTTATTTGACACCTCTGGAGTTGGAGCTCAAGGAGAGAGGAGAGCAGAAACTTTTTACTTAACTTGATGGCTGTTAACTGTCTTATTGCTCGCTGAGCCCCGTTGATGTAAAATGGACTCTAGTGGGCATTGTGTTCTCTGCTGGAACCATTCATATACCTTGACGTGGGTCAGCTTTTGATTTCCTGGTAGAACCTTCAGGCTAGGCAGGATCCCTTGAAAAATGATACCCCCTTCAAAAATGACATCCTTCTGTGGGTTCCACATCTGGTCTCAAGGATTTTTATACCTTTGACAGCAATTGCAGACTTCTACCCCTCTACTACAGGTGGCTTCTGCCAGCCTCTTGCCTTCTGATTCCTTAGAATATGTCAGCTGGCAGTCAACTGTATGCCCCTCGCCTCAGAATCCAGGGGTGTGTAAACCCTGGTGGCGTAGTGGTTTAAGTGCTACGGCTGCTAACCAAAAGGTCGGTAGTTCGAATCTACCAGGCGCTGCTTGGAAACTCTGTGGGGCAGTTCTCCTCAGTCCTGTAGGGTCATTATGAGTTGGAATCGACTTGACTCGACTCGACAGCAGTGGGTTTGGTTTTTGGTTTTGCTGTACCCTTAGAAGCCCTCTGGGCTTGCGGTGAAAAGGAAAACTCTCCCTCTTCCCCTAACCTCACCCAGAGTTAATTACAGCACAGCTTTTTCTAAACAAATTCTCAGAGTCTTCAGCCTTATAGGCCTTGGGGATTTTAGAACTGTAACCAGTTTAGGGGCATCTCTTAAATTTCCACAAGGTAGTTATCAGACCGTTTTGGGAATTTTTGTTTATCATAGCTTAGTGCCTCTGTTGGCAGTTCCAAGTCCTGTTAACATACCAAAAACCAAACCCATTGCTGCCTGAGTTGATTCAAACTCATAGTGACCCTCTAGGGCAGAATAGAGTTGCCTCATATGATTTCTTAGGCCATAATCTTTACAGGAGCAGATTGCCAGGTCTTTTCTCCCTCAGAGCCACTAGATGGGTCAAACTGCCAACCTTTGGGTTAGCAGCCGGTCACTTAACCACCGAGCCACCAAGGCTCCTTTCTGTTAGACATAGATAATTCAAGTATCTGTTTTCTAAATCAGGAGTTTTGATGTCTCCTATTGTGTATCTCCCATAGCAGAGTTGACTGGTTTGAATTGTCTTTATCTCATTTATTCATCTAACTAATGTTTATTGAGTGCCTACTATGTGGCAGTCACTGTGCTGAGCACTGGAGCCCGAGGCTAAATAGGGTGTGCTCCCTGCCTTAAGCTCATCAGGCAAAGAGTGGAATGTGGGAAGTGCTGTCATAGAGATAATATAATAAGTGACACTTGCTACTAAAAACGACATTCTGGGAAGAAGTGTTGAGGAAGAGCTTGTGCTGGGGATCTACAAGTAGTTTTGTGTGACCAGGTCATATTGTATCTGGGTGTGTGTGTGGGTGATTGGAGAGATGAATCTGTACCTTTAGGAGCCAGGGTACAGAAGGTCTTCAAAGCCAGTGCTGCTTAGAGTGTGGTCTGGTCAACAGTAACATCAGCACATCATCAGAGAATTTGTTAGAAATGCGAGTTCTCAGGCATCACCTCCAATTATGGAATCAGAATCTCTGGGCACAGGCCCCAGGAATTGTATGTATTACCTAGTTCTGCAGGTGATTCTTTTGCACCTGAAAATTAGAGTAGCACTGTTAACCTTGCTATATTCTTCAGGTATTTGATGATCTTGTAAAGGCTAAAGTAGATAGAGCTGGAGGAGAGTTTCAGGATCAAATGTGCAGTTCAGAAACATCGATTCTTCTTTCATACTGCCTTCTTACTCTAGGGGCATGAGGTTGGACATATTCAACCCACACCTTACTGAAAGGTCTAGTAATAAATTGATAAGCCAGTAGGAAAAAAATAGAAGGGGACGTAGGTAATCACTCCAGGATAATTGAGATTTCTTTCTGTATTCCTACTAGTGTCTCAGGCATTAGAAAAAAATTGTTCTTTTCTTTGCAGTTGGTTATCCTGTATGGCAAATAGCAATCCAGGGATACATTTATACATACATTCACATATGTTTATGTCTCATAAGTCATCTTTATTGTTGTACATTAAAAGATTCAAAATCCCCAGCTGAGTATGGACTTAGAAACATTTTTAACTAATGAAGCTGAAATAGCTTTATTGTGGTTCTTGGGGGAGTGTTGTAATGAAATTGACTTTTTATTTCATTGAACTGAGGGATCTTTTTTAAATTTCTCCTCTCCTGCCCCCATTCACCCATCTTGTTAAGCATATCACTAAGTTTCTTACCAGGGGTTAATTACAATACATAACGTTGCTGTGAAAATTAGTGTTTGTTTCCACGTTTTGTGTACAACATAAGTTAACTCTTTTCAGTTGGCAAGATGAATTCCCTTCTCCTTTGAATGCTAATAACTTTTCAGTTATTTTAGTGTTATAAAGTATTTTAAAGCCATAAACAGTCTTCCAGTTTAGGCAGTTTATGAGGAACTAATTACTCTTTAAATGATTTTTTTAAAGATTACTAACTTAGATAATGAAGTGCTATTGTCTAGAGGTCCTGAGTGTCTTTTTACATGAGTTTTTGTGACATGTTATCATTGTTTATTTATTAATCCAACTTTAAAAAAAACTTTTTTTTTTCCCTGATAAAAATATAAATCTAAATTATAAAACAGGATTCCACTTTTGGAATTTTGGTGTGGATCATGTTGCTTGAAATAGGCAGCTTTTTCAGACTTTTAAATCTTTTTTTATTCAACTTTTCTGTAATAAAATTTTTATTACATGAAGAATCTATATGAAAAAGAATAGTACATTGTTTTGTGTTTCCATTTCCCAGTAAGTTTTTTATTTCAAAGTGTACTTTGAATTATGGTCCTAATTTTCTTTATATTATTTAAATACATAAGTTATATTTTTATATGCAGGACTTCTTAATTACACAGATGACTGGAAAAGAGCTCTTTGAGATTTGGAAGATAATAAATCCTATGGGACTACTGGTAGAAGAGTTAAACAAAAGGAATATTTCTGCTCCTGAATCTAGACTTACTAGGCAGTCCGGAAGCACCACAGCTTTGCCGTTATATTTTGTTGGCTTATACTGGTTAGTACGATTTTAATCTTAACTTCATAGTGTTGATTTGAAGCTTTCAAAACAGACTTTTGTCAATTCCTTAACATAACTTCTAATTGTAAAGATTTTTTAAAATCTCTTCTCTGTGGTTATTTATTTACTACTTTCCTGCTGAATGTCATTCTTAGGAGAAGGTAAGTAATCTACAGTTTGCTAAAGTAGCTTTTGTTAGCCGACTGTTCACTGTAGCATTTTATGGAGTACGTGTTAACCTAAATTTTTCTGTGTAAAGAATGGATTTTGATTCATACCTGTTTTAGGTTTAACCCTAATCTAATCTTGTGAACAGCTTCAGCTGAGCCCAGAACTAAAAAAGGAAGGGCTTAGTTGTCCATTAAGACATATAAATCAACCCAGGTTGAGAGCTTTTTTGGTTAGTAAAAAAGTAGGCCTGCTTCCTGATTGAATTCAGTTGCATTAAAGTGTTAAATGTAAACATTGAATCTCTAAGGTAAATTTGGGCCAGAAAGTTTCCAGGAAGTAGTTAAATATAATGGAGAAGTAGCACATCCATGCCATACTTGTAAACTAACAGGATTTTTGTTGTTTAATGTGTATATGATTTGCTCTCTTGAGGAAGCATTTTTACATTTTCAAAGAAGAGTTTGGTAGTTATAATAGAAACACCAGTAAAGCAGAGGAATTCTCATGGTTGTTTTACCTAGTTGTAATAGAACACTGATAGTCAACATTTAGTAGGCCCTTACTGTGCTACCTCAGTATCTTTTGGAAATAAATTAGAGTGTGAATTATAAATATGCAAAATAAGTTTGCTCCCTCCCTGCCTTAAATGTCAGTAAGATTTTGAACATCTATATGTAACTCTTAATTTAAAATGTAGAGCTGATTTCTTACTTGTTTTAAAGTTTAGATGACACACCTGAAAGGTGCAGTTTTTTCCCAACCAAATTTTTGTGCAGGTTATATCACAGATTCAAAATGAGTTTAAAAAAAAAAAAAAAAAATCTAATCATAATTCCCAGGAATATTTTTAATAATTTCAGATTTTTACAGCAAGATATTTTATTTGTATATTCTTCCAGTTCTCCCATCAGCAATTAAAAAAAAACAGATACCTATCTATATCGGTGCACCTGGCTTTTTTCTGACTTAAGAAATATTGGGCCTAGTGAGTTTTTTTATATTTACTGTGACAATGTAAGTGTTTCTTTGTCTAACTGCTATGTATAATGAATTTGCAACAAAATCAGTTAAAATCCAAAAGATATTATACTCTCAAAGGTATTGTTATTTCTGGTGGATATTATTAGCAAACTGATTTGTGTACCATGCTTTATGATGCACTGTGTAATTGAAGACTACTGCTGGTTTTCTTGATAGTGATAAAAAGTTGATTGCAGAAGGACCTGGGGAAACAGTACTGGTTGCAGAAGAAGAAGCTGCTCGAGTGGCACTCAGGAAACTGTATGGATTCACTGAGAATAGACGACCCTGGGACTATTCCAGGCCCAAAAAGAATTCGAGAGCAGAAAAAAACATCACTGCCAGCTAACAGACCAAGATGTGGAACCTAAAATTTGTGAGGAAAACAATGAGACAAATGTCAAAGACGTTCAAAGTCAGACGTTTTTTTAAATTGTAAAGAAATATGTCTCATTGTCCATCTTGTGTTCTTAAAATTTAAAAAGTGCTAATCCGGTCACCATGAGTTGGAAATCGACTCCACAGCAACAGGTTGTTTTTTTTTTTAAATTGATTTTGTCAAAAATCTTTTTTTGACTCTTTCCAAGAACTATTTCCTAAAGCCCTTGATTTTATTGTTGTATATAACTTGTACAGTTAGGTATATTTTATTTCCTGCTAGCTGTGAGGTATTATAATTGGAATATATGTTTTATGTGAACTTTGCTGTAATACCAATAAAAAAGTTGCTCTTTCAATATTGCATTGTAGTTTAATTTGATATACCCATGAATATTAGGAGGTTGATGAACTTTGCCTGTCTAATGTAATATAGTCATGCACCACGTAACGTCTGTTTGGCCAATGTCTGGCTGCGCATCCATCTTGGTCCCATGAGGTTACAATAGAGTTTAGAAATCCCAATCGGAGACCGAGATGTAGTGGATTTAGGCATCATACTTAACAATCAACAGTCCTCAAAAACAAAGAAAAAGTTCTCTAAGTTGTTAAAGGATCAGGAGAACAGAAAGCTGCAAGGCTAATGAAAATGCAAGAGGGACCTATATCAGATATGGAGAAGTTGTTAATGATGTGGATTGAGGACCAAACCCAAGAGTGAATCCCTCTCAGCATGTTGATGGTCACTGCTAAGGCACGAAGCTTATTTGAGATGCTTAAGAAAAGACCAAACTATGATACTGAGTTTGGTGCTAGCTCTGGGTGGTTCCAGTGCTTGGATTGTTTACTGCATAATGTGGAAGTGAGTGGTGAGTGTGAGAGTGCTGATGTGGTGGCAGCAGAATTTGTTGAAACCCCAGATGAACCTGTTGTAGAGGGAGGTGATTTGCCCTAGCAAATGTTTAATACGGATGAAACCTCCTTATTGTGGAAGTGGATGCCTGAAAGGACTTTCATTCATAACATGGTGTTCACACAGTGTCTGAATCACATAATGCTCTATTTCCCAGAATATACTGTGGATGTTTAGTGATGGGTGACTGTATTAACTAAAATAGTAATGTTGTAGCTCTTCTAGAAATGTAACTTGTAGATTATAACAATTGGATACTGACATGATTTCTAGATTCTCTCCAGCTTTATAATTGTGGGAACTTACAATACATTTCTTAGATAATTCAATTTCTATAAAATACAGAATTGGCAGAAAAGGTAAATTTTATGCTAAGAAATTGTCTTTTCAAAGAAAAAATTGAAAAACAGCTCAAAATATTGATGCTAATTCAGGCTTAAGGTGTCCTCGTGGCACAGTGGTTAAGCACTTGGCTGCTAACCGAAAGGTCAGCAGTTGGAACACACCAGCCGCTCAGTGGGAGAAAGATGTAGCAGTCTGTTCCTTAAAAGATTACAGCCTTGGAAACCCTATGGGGCAGTTCTACTCTATCCTATAGAGTCGCTGTGAGTTGGAATCGACTCGATGGCAATGGGTTTAATGCAGGTTTACTGTTGGAAAAATAATGTATGCATTTATACATTGAATTTAGCGTTTCCATAATTATAATAATAGCTACCAAGCACTATTCTAAGTATTCTTGTTGGTATTAATGCATTTAATTCAGTGGAGTACAAACCTTACTGAGTGTGTCCTCTGGTTCTTTAATCTTTGTGTTCAGTCCCCTTTGATTATTTCTTTTTAACTATTTAGCAACTGTAAAAGTTTTTAGTTTCAGTCTGCCAGTAGTCACTCTTAGGGGTTAAAGAGAAAAGTGGGACTTGGGAGTTGAGAATAGAAAAAAAAGATAAGATGTTAAAACTGGACAGCGTTTTTGCCACAAAGTCTTTTTATAAAGGAAGATAAAGGAAAGTAAATTCCTTTCCTGAGACAGGTGAGGAGAGAGGGACTTAGAGTCATGTGCAAAAGGGCTTAAAGCTGTCACGGATAAAGCAAAGACTGCTTGTGGCGGAGAAAGTTTGAGAAATACCCAGTTGTAAAAATGGCATGGAGGTAGTGTCTGACCTCCTCTAACTTAACAAGGGGGAAGGAGAATCAAGATCAACAGCCCAAGGCTGATTCCTATGAGGTGGAGGTCAGACATGCCTCCTTTCTCCACCGTCTTTACCAATTCTGATACCAACTGTCCCTCCCATGGTACTCTCTACTAGTTTATTGCAATGGCTACACAGAACTCAGACAATATTCATGATTATGGGGTTTATTAAGGAAGGAACAGTCACAGTTTAGGCTCAGGAATGCTCAGGATACAGTTCTTCAATCAGGACAGCCTCTTCTCAGCCATGCTCGCCTCTCCCTGGCCCTCAGCCTCTGCCCAAAGGCACTCGGCTTCCTCTCTCTGTAGGCCAGGAAGCCCACCATGCCATCTCTCCTGCCACTTCTGTGCCACCACTTCTCACCATCTTCATGGTTACAGCTCCCTCTCTCTTGGTCTGCTGGGTCCAGGAGCTTCTCAGCACAGGGATCCCGGGTCCAAAGGACACACTGTCTGCTCCTGGCTGTTCTTTCTTAGTGGTTGTGGGATCCTCTCTTTCCTGCCTCTGGGGTGGCTCATTTCAAACCTAGCGGGATGGCAGAACTGACCGATCCCTTTGGTGGGCCACAATTACCCTATCACACAGTCCCGCCCAATCACTTGGGTGGGAGTTACAAAACCATGGCTAGAAAGGTCACACAAAAGCGATCCATTGCACTGCACCAGTTGACTGAATTGGTAGGTGAAATGTAAGTTATTTCATGTTTCTGTGTCCTGAGACATGAGAGTTAACTCAAAGTCCTAAAAATTGAACACAGAGATAGAAGACCAAACCCAGTAGTAAAATGCCATTTATATGTGTCATCCACAAGTAAATATACTTTGGTAAGCACCTCAGAGAAGAGAGATCAGAGTTTCTGAGAAGCAAAACATGTTAAGTGCCCTCTAACCACTTACCCAGCATATGCAGAAGGTTAGAGTCTAGCTAGAGTACTACCACCCTTCTTTTTTTTTTTAGGTGAACATTATTTTAAAAGGTCTTGAGAGAATTCAGTTGCAAACTCAGTCATCCTCCCCCCCTTCCCCGCCCCCTTCCCCGCCCCAAATAGTGTTGATAATATGATCCCAGATTTCTGTCAGGCAGTTTGCATAGGACCTTAACTTACAGGGCTGGGGAGAAAACTATCCTTACCTGTAGGTTTTCAAGTTTCTGAACCTCAGATGCTTCTGGATTTACATATGGAACAAACCTTTTCAAGTGAAGAGATCAAGAGATCTGTATCCCTTATAAAGAAAGGGATTTCACCACATTTCTAGGTCTTCTTTCAAATTAAGTTGTTAAATCATACTTTTAAAAGCACCCAATACAATATGATGGACTGGAACGTAGAGAAAACAATGCATTTTTGCAGTTCCATATGAAATAGCTTGAAATTTGGAACCAGCCTCTCGGTTAACTCATTAACTTATCCTATGAGAATAAATACTGCCTAAGTTTGATAGAATTGACTTGCCAACAATGGGTTTGGTTTGGTTAAGTTTGATGTATGGACAAGAACGTGGTACAAGGATGTCGACAAATGGGGCGTCTAACCAAGAGCATTCAGTGGCCATTGGGAGGACTGGCTTTTTGACTGATGGCTAATCCATATCAATAAGAAAGCCATTATGACTAGAAAGAAGTTGTTGGGCTATAAAAGCACTGATGCTTGAGCTTGGGTTGGCACCAGAGAAAGATAGCAAAGTCATATTTTCTTTGAAATTCTGACACCCTTTTCCACCTTTCGTACTGTTCAGTCCCGAGCCCAAACAAAGTATAATTGCACCAAAAAAAATTCCTTAGCCAAAAATGCAAAGTTAATGTCTACAGACTCATACATAGCCCTATTCTTTTTAGTTTATACTGTTTATTTTTTATTTTGTTGTTGTTCAGAATATACTGTGTTTTTACTATATACATAGATAAAATAGGGAATAACCCGTTGCTGGCTGTTGCGTCGATTCCAACTCATATGACCCTATAAAACAGAGTAGAACTGTCTCATAAGGTTTCCAAGGAGCGGCTGGTGGATTTGAACGGCTGACTTTTTGGTTAGCAGCCACATGCTTAACCACTGTACCACCAGGGCCCCCCAAAAATAGGGAACAGTATTCTGGAAATGCTGTATTGGTCATGAGAAAGTGAGCTAATACTCGAAATTATAGTAACTTCCAGTAAGAATGGAATAGGGGCTGCTTTTATTTTATCATTGTATTGATTTTGGCCACTAGATGGTGTTCTAATCATATTTCACAGTTAAGTATATGCAAAATGTCATCCTGGGGAACACTATTTTCTACCTTCACAGGAAAGATAATATGTATGTGGCAAATGATTACAGTGAAACATTATTTTAAAGGCCCCTTATACGCTAATGCCCTATGACTATATCAGCAGAAGCTACCTCACACTCTTCTCTCACCTCAGGATGTTGTCACAGTAAGTTAAGATTTTGATGTATGAACAGTTCACTTCGGAAGCCAAGGTGTGGAAGTTTGAGCTCTTTTATATTCACTGGGAAGAGGGGAAAAGGTAGGGCTGCTATAGATAAAATTTTTAAAAGACACAGGTTTTTTGTTTTTTTTGGGTTTTCTTGCGCCTTCTAACTATTCCTTTCTCCCTACTTCTCTTTTTATGATGGGAGAAAACACTGCAGAGAAGAGGGACCCCTAGTGCCCATCTTGACACTTCCTAAAACGGATGTGGACATTCCTCCCATCAGGGGAGCCAGCTCACAATATTGCCCAGCGAGGTGTGGGGGAGGGGAGGTGCCCACTGCAGGATGCCCAGCTGCCCACGTCTTGGATTCCTAACTCCACTGGTTTTGTTCCCCTCCGCTGACCTTGTATTCTCTCTTCAAATCCGAGTGAGTAAAGACCCTCTACCATTGTTTCCCCTAGGGCCTAGAGCTGTGGCTCTTAAATTTGTTTGGGTACCAGAGCTCTTGAAAACCACGGTTCTCAATGATTGTTAGTAATCCCGTCCTTCAAACTAAGGTCAGTTTTTCCAGAAAAACACTCATGCAGACAAAAATCACAACTACAAGCACACATACTCCTGGAAGAAGAGAGCCAGCTGCTCAGGAATTGGCACTGTGTGTGCCTTCCATGAATACTTGCTTGTTCTCTTTCATTTATCTGGCTGCTTGTGGGTGCTCACCAACAACTGAAGACTAATAGTTGGAGAGACATTTCTGGGAGGAAAATAATTAAAAACATTAACTTACTCCTGTATTGAGGAAGAATGCCTTGCTTATTTGCAGGATGCCTTT